GTGTGTGTGTGTGTGTGTGTGTGTGTGTGTGTGTGTGTGTGTGTGTGCTTTCAATTTGAGAGGCATCCTGCTGTTTTCTTTGATATTCTTCATCCACAGTTTTACCTTTATAACACTTTTCTCAATGTCCATATGATCTGTTTTAACTCTTTTGTGATTTATTTGCCTGGATGATTGAGCTTATATCAGGACTTTTTCTCAGTGTAGCTTTTGTTCATATAGTTATCATAAGAGCTTTAGAAAAAAAAATGGTAAAACTCGTTTTTCCTCAGCAGTAGAAACTTAAATAATGGTTTTTGAAGTTGAGTTAAACAAATAGCTTTATGTCAGAAGCATCTTCCTGCCCTGCTCTTAAATATGCCCAGCTCTGTGACAACACAAAATTATGCTGATTATTTAGGTCTGCTTGTGTTTGTGTGCTTTTGTGCATGTGATTCAACTCATGCTGAACTTAAATCTAAATCTGTTGACTTGCCACATTAAAGAGACAACACATTCAAAGTTATCAAAATACAAACAGTTTTATTTTGAGTTGAAGACACATTTTAGATTTGAAAGATACAAGTAGTTCTAGGCATGTCCCAGTTAGGGAATGTTGTTTTGTCTTGTATGCACACATACACTATGTGCGCCCCATTAAAGTCTCATGGTAGAGTCTGTGCTGGGTGTTGTCGAAGACAGACACATATGACAGTCTAAAACCCATCATGTTTGATAGGCAGGAAAGAGCTCAATATCGCTACACCACATTAAACCGTTTCACACAACTCAGCTATGACCATATCCAGAAAACCATAGGGGATAGCATTTTATAGAGGCATCTGCTCTTTGCAACTACTGAAGCACACATTAATGTGCTATAGTGTAAATTGGATGAAGATACTGTATTAGCACTGGTGTTTTTTCAGTTTTTTTTGTCATAAAAAGTGAAATAAAAAATATTTACTACAACACTAGTTGCATTTATCAGTGGGTGCTTACACTGTGCACTGTAACAATTTCTCCCACTGGGACCTGGATGCCCTTGGAGCAGAGTTGTATTTGCTCTTTACAAATGTTTTAACTTGACAAATAACAAAATACTAAAATAAATAAATAAATAAATAAAATAGCATTTTTAGAAAGTACTTCTTCCATTTCATATAGGGACATTAAGATATGCACTTACAGTACCAGCCTGTAAGGAGTGTGCAACTTATATTTGGTATGTCTCAACATTAATGGTATGACATTGTGGCACATGGCAACAAATAAATTCATGATACTGGGACCAAGACAAACACATATCCCTCTGTCTTGCTTTAAAAGCAAGCTGCATGCTTGTTTTCACTCTCACGTTTCACCTTTTCTTAATTTTATTTTTCCACTTCATGTCCACTCTTCCTGTCTTCATCTTATTTTTATCAGAAGTTTTGTTCAAGTTTTTCTTTGATTCAGCTTCCTTGTTTTCAGAGACAAAGTACCCCGGCAAGCAGAAACTCTGATTTGATTCAGCACAGTAATAAAACGGTAATCAAATAAAATAGGGAGTGGTGGCGCAGAGGTTAGAGAAGATGGGCCTGTGATCAGAAAGTCACAGGTTCAACTCCCTGTACCGTCAACATCAAAATGTGAGTCGAAAAGGTGAAACACCCACACCTGCCTCCACCCTCATTTGCCCCACTCTGGGCCCCTGAGCAAGGCCCTTAACCCCCACTATTTGCTCCCAAAAAACAGGTCGCTCTTGAAAATGAGTTCTTGTGACTCAATGAGACTACCTGTATAAATAAAGGGTAAACAAAAAAAAGAAAAAAAAATTGAGCTAGTCAGAACTTTAACTTAAACCCCGATGTTTTGAGCACATCCTCCTCTGCACAAAGCCAGACGCTGTTCTGACCTCAGGAGTCTTTAGTCTGAGCACCCACCTGTTGAAAAACTGAGATCCTGCTTACTGCCTGAGCCAGCTGCACAGAGAGAGAGAGACCGACCAACCCTCCAACCAACCGACCCTCGCTCCCTCCCTCCCTCTCTTCTGTTAACAGCTTGGGAGATTTTCCACTTTTGAGATCACGTACGGGATCTGGTCACTCACCTGCCTGGTATCTTCTATAGGAACTGAAACAGATTCAATGACTTGGTAGGACAAATGCTTCCTCACTGGTAACCATGGTGCCTTCTAGATTAAAACAGCAGTCCAGTTCAACGAGTCTTTGATAAGTTTCAAATTTAGAACTTTCCTTTTAATTTTATTTTATTTATTAGTTTCAAATAAACCTGCCCTCACCTTATAATAGACCAAAGCTTTTAATGTAGCTTCAGTCGCACTTTGTTTTATCCATATATATTGCATTTGTTTTATTTAAAGATTAAATTTTACACTCTTCATATTTGCTATAACTTACTACTATATTACTACCTGTCAATAAATGTCGCAAACAGTTTCTTTCAGCTGCGCCCTTCTTCAAGGGTTGCCATAGTGAGCAAACTTGCATGAAAGATTTGGCTCTTTGTTTTATGCCAGATGCCCTTCCTGACACAACCTGGGCTTGAACCCGAAACCTCAGGATTACAAGACCGCACCACTGACCACTAAGCTACCACAGCCTCCTAAACATCACATAAACTGAGCCAAACTTATTTCAGTTGTGCGTGTGTTTTAATTTAAATATGACATTGTTCAGAAGAAAAGAACTGTGGTTTGGGGTGATATGTTGAGACTGATAATCCTGTAAATCATGAATTTATAGTTTTCTCTCTTTATGAGTATGGTGCCCTGAGGTTTGATAAATTGAGAATTAGTAATAATTCACAATGTATCTATGCTATAGTCTACCCCTACATATGTCTTATTCCTAGAGTAAATACAAATGTGCTGCTATTGTACCCCTTTGATATTTTGAACCACTTTGGCTATGGCTGCCTCAGAGGAGTTGACAGGTGTAGAAGGTGGACTCCAGAAACCATCTTGTCACCACAAAACTGGTTGGCCCACTATGTGAGTAAACCACTTATGGGACTGTTTGTTGTGGCTCCCAAGAATTATGAAGTCCTTTGGATGAAGGATGAAACGTTTGAACAAATAAAATAAAATAAAAAACGTCCAGAAGACCTGTCTTGACTTTGTTGGATTTTTTTACCTGGATTATTGAGCATGGACTTTTATGTACTGCACTGTGTTCAAATTAAACATTTTGTACAATGAACTTTGTTGACTTGTTTATGCAAAGAAGCTCAAGTCGAGCAGTATTTTAAAAACCGTTTTTACTTGTGTAGCAACACTATAGATACAATTTCCTAAACCTTCTGCTGTGGAATCTGGTATTAGCCTTGTCAGACCATTGTAATATACTCTATCGTGGATCAAATATTTATGAATGCATTTCCATAACATTACCTTTTGGAATGAACTCATGTTATTAAATACATTTGTATAAATTAT